GGGGAGCGGCGGGCGAGCGGGGAACCGGACCTCCAGCACCGTGCTTGGGACCTGGGAGCGCTCGGTCAGAGGCTAGCGTCACAAGCTGTGGTTCCCTGCGGTCTCCGGGCAGGGTGTTGTGCACGTGGGATGGGGTATTGCCTGGCCCGGTTCCCGAAATCCCCGCCTGGGCTGGCTTTGCATCCCCGGCCTGTTGTTCGGGGTATAAAGTTCACTCTGCGCAGAACAGCCTCTGGCAGCTTGCCTGTCCGGTTGCAAGCATCTAGCAAGACCTGATAAGGACAGGGGTGTAAGCCGGCCCCGAGGTGCTCCACCAGCTTCTCCAATCAGGTCTCCTTTCCGACGGCTCAAGTTCAGTCTCCCATCAAACTGTGGCGTTTGTCTGGTAGGTTTGCTCTCCGAATGATCGCGGCCCTGCCTTGAGGCTCGTGCCCGCTCGAAGCGGAGGCTCGAGGCTCCGTTCGGAGGCGGCAGCGAGGAGCGAGCCCTCGGCAGCTCTCACCACGCAGCCCCTCGGAGCCGAGCTGGGCTGAAACGGGGAGATCGTGCTGCCTCGATGTCCTCAGGCAGGTCTTCTCCTTTTGACCTGCTATCGTTGGTCTCTCTTTTAAAGATGCGGTCGCTTCCTTCTCGGTGCTGAGGTGTCCGAGTCTGCTTGTGCTCTATCTGCTGCAGAGCTTTTCCTCTGCGCTGGCCTCCGTTGAGGCAGCTCTGTCCGGCTCTCCTGCCTCGCCAGGGTCCGTCTTTCGAGGATCTGGGCTGCGTGTTTGGCTCAGCCTTGCTTTTGGCCTTTCCCTCGTTGCGGTGGTGTAGGCTTGACTGGGTCTCCCTGGCTCCTCTCCATCCCTTTCAAGTAAAGAGCTGGGCTGCGTTGCGCTTTCCTAGCGAGAGGAGCTCCTTGCTCGGGGTTTTTGGAGCGGCTTTTCCCAAGCCCCTCTTCGTCCAGCAGTCTCCCCTCTGCCCCTCCTGTCTCCCCAGCTCTGCCGAGAGCAGAAGCTCGGAGGCTCCTGTCCCGTCGAGGCGCTCAGCTCAGCGACGTGGGGTCCGGACCCGCTCCCTCCCTCCCCCCCCCCCACCAAGGGCACCCCCATCGCGCGGACACG